CCACCACCACCACCACATCCTCCTCCTCCTCATCCTCCGCCACCACCACCTCCACCACCACCACCACCACCACCTCCACAACTGCCATCCCCACCACCACCAACTCCACCTTCATCACCACCACCACCTCCACTCCATCACTACAACTACCACCACATGATTAGTACATAACACTTTTAATATCATGTTTATTTTAGTCATTATTCACAATTACAACAATTTTATATTAAAATTTACCAAACGTTTTTTAAATTGCTTTTTGTACTAACAGCACTTTAAAAATATTGTTTACCAAATATGGAGCTACTTTACTTTACAGCTAATTATTTTCAAAGCACAGCAGAAGTAACTTTTTTTTAAAAGTGACAGTAATCCCAAACTAGGAAGGCAAGAAAGATATTAATTCTTCTTGCCTTAAGTTTATCTATATATATAAAGCAAAATGCAGAGAATGGTGAAATATTCAAAATACTAGAAAATGCCCTTGGTTAATTCAAACATTAAGAATTGAAATTATTAATTAAATTAAGATAATATGGTAAATTCACATTTTGTTCATATAAAAAGAAAATAAAAAGAAAAACAAAATCAGATAATAGAACATAACTACCCATGTTGTCTTTTTTTAATTCTAAAAATAAAATAAAAAATAAAAAATAAAACCAATTGCCACATGCGTAAGGAGCTAGTTACAATTAAGGTAAGGAAAAAAAAACAGAAACTTGCGTTTATTTTTTCAAAATACTCCAAGTAAAACGCCGTCGTTTCAGTTAGAAATTTTTTTAAAACGCAATCGAAACGACGTCGTTCTTTTTAAAGTTAAAACACTGCATTTTAAACGACGTCGTTTCATAACAATAAACCTAAAAAATAAACACGTGAGTCGTCTTCCTCGCAAGTCGCAGCCAATTTGCAGACTCGCAAAATTTCTTCCGGTTCAGAAGTGTCCAGATCTGGCTCGCCTGGCCACGCCTTGCAACGCTCCTTACGCCTTCCCCGCGCTAAACGTGCAACTCGCGAAACAGCTGACCGCCTCGGGCGATTTCCTGCCGCCTCGCTCCGACGCGCTCGCCGACGCGCGAGAAGGCATGCCTTTAAAAACACTGATGTTTTCTGCATTTGACTCATTGGCTTTTCGTCTACCCTTTGTGGAGCAGATGTGATTTTATATGGTTTTGGCACAAAGGGAAATTATGGCACTGAGGAAGAAATTGTGTGAGAGTTCCAGTTTCAATGGCAAAATTATGTACACCTTTTCAAGGTATTTTAGCTCAAACAAGATGGACTTAAGGAAGCTAAAGCCTATGATTCAGAAGAGAATCCAAGAACGGGCTAAAGATTATCCAGTACCGGGCATGATTCCAGTGGCCCAGGAGGTCCTTAATTCCCGGAGGCTCCTTATGCAAGGTGTCTCTACCCTCCTCAAAGTGTTACCAGTTATGGCCTGCAAGTAAATCCCTCATCTGCCAAGTTTTACTTTTTATTTTTAATGTTCTTTTTTGGGGGGTGCGGTGGGGGGATCCATATGAACTTCTAAGCTTTGAATTATTTAGCATTGAAATCCTTACTTTTCTATTACATAGGTTACAGATGTTTCATGAAACAATATCGACTTTGATCTGCGTGTTTCTTTTTCAATTATAGGCTTGTGTTATGGGGAAACTTCCTTGAAATCTAGGATGATTGAGTTGCTTTATAGCTGTTAATAGTGGAATACATACTCAAGCCCTTTTTAAATGCAAATTTTCTTGGATCTGTCCTCTGCAAATTTATTCATGGAAGCTTCAGAGTTTATGTTCTGTATTTCTTGTCTCAGAAAAATTAGACCACTATATATCTACATGTTCCTGAGCTCCCTAAGTACTATTTTTGAGAGCTGCACTGGCTATGTTTTCCAAATTAGAGTTAATCTAATTGATCTCCATTCTCCCTCCTGCTCTGATGGACAGTTTTTGTGACTCAAAAGAAAAGCCAGGGTTTTTCATCCATATCCTACTTTTGCAGGTTCTGTCCAGAAGTATATATAGGCGAGAAAGGCCACGTAATTCAGACTTGTTGTGGTTTCAAACATCGTAATATAGCTGTTAATAGTGGAATACATACTCAAGCCCTTTTTAAATGCAAATTTTCTTGGATCTGTCCTCTGCAAATTTCTTCATGGAAGCTTCAGAGTTTATGTTCTGTATTTCTTGTCTCAGAAAAATTAGACCACTATATATCTACATGTTCCTGAGCTCCCTAAGTACTATTTTTGAGAGCTGCACTGGCTATGTTTTCCAAATTAGAGTTAATCTAATTGATCTCCATTCTCCCTCCTGCTCTGATGGACAGTTTTTGTGACTCAAAAGAAAAGCCAGGGTTTTTCATCCATATCCTACTTTTGCAGGTTCTGTCCAGAAGTATATATAGGCGAGAAAGGCCATGTAATTCAGACTTGTTGTGGTTTCAAACATCGTAGCAAGAATCGGGTTCACGAATGGATAACTGGTGGTTTAAATGATGTGCTTGCTCCAGTAGAGGCATTTCACCTGAAGCACATGTTCCAGGATGTTATTAAGCACCATCAGAGGTTTGACTTTGAACGTGTTCCTGCAGTTGTTGAGCTATGCTGGCAAGCAGGGGCAAATGATGGAAATCAGTATTCAAATTGGAGCCCGGAAAGTGATTGTTGCCGTGTTGATGGAGCTGAGTCTTTGTCACCCGATGAACTGGTTATGATTGCCAGTGGAACTTTGAAGGCATGGGAAGTTCTCAGAAATGGCGTGGAGAAGTTGTTGATGGTTTATCCAGCAAAAGTGTGTAAACATTGTTCAGAAGTTCATGTAGGGCCATCTGGGCATAAGGCTAGGCTTTGTGGCATTTTTAAGTATGAGAGTTGGCAGGGAACGCACTTTTGGAGAAAGGCAATTGTAGATGATCTTGTGCCTCCAAAGATTGTATGGCGGCGCCGGCCTCAGGATCCTCAAGTGCTTTTGAACGAAGGGAAGGGCTTTTATGGGCGTGCTCCAGCAGTAGTAGAACTATGCACACAGGCAGGTGTCATTGCACCCTCAAAGTATCACTGTTTGATGAAACTGCAGGGTGTGGCTACACTTTGAAATCAAAGTTTGTGACATCCGAAAGATCTAATGTAAATGCAGTTGATTCCAAGGTGGGAAATTGAAGCCCAGCAGAAGCTCCCTAGGATCACAGATGTGTGTAGAATTGTTTAACTATGACGTTTGATGATATGAAGCGGGAAATTGAAGCCCCACAGAAGCTCCCTTGTCATCTGATCTTAACCATCAGATGAATGATGACGGAGTCCAAGATGGAATGAAATGGCGTGTATTGCCCCCTTGACATGGATCATGAAGGAGCCGAGGAAATGTGTAGCTCTGCTTTTGCCATGGACACAGAAACAAGATTTAGTGGAAAGAGTAAGAAAGGGGTTAAACTCATAGGAAATTAAGTTTATATTTTCTTGTACTTAATTATCTTATAGATGGTTAATACAACATGATAAATAATTAAAATCCCTAACGGAATCGAATGCTCGGTTGTGCTTCTCTAATAGATTTTCAATATAATTTGATTAGTTTAAATTTCATTTTCTGCTATAGCACTACTCTTCTTGCATGTCAATATCCACTGCGATACACGCTCCCTTTAAACACATATATGGGATCTCCATCTTCCACACCATGCCACCTGAGGCTACAATTGTCACGCATGGTCCTCTGCTTGTGTATGAACAAATAATCATCAATTGGAAGAAGTTTCCTGCTTAAAAGCAGTTGCCTCATCTCATTGACTGTGCTTGAGTCCTTCATTTTCAAAGGAATTCTGGATGCATTAAGCAAGCTTGAGGAAGTTTGTACCACAAGACTCAATCTCCTTGAGCGAGGATCATCCGTTGGACGATTCACGGTCTTGAGGAACACAAGGATTTCAGAAAATTCGCGTATGCCGTACTCGCCTAAGTTGCGAAAATCTTCTTCTAACTCAATTCCACAAAAGAAGAGTGACATTCTTTTGATGGGTGTACCGTAAAGAATGTGGATTGTATCTTTAAGGCTACTCACTGTTTCTGTTCTGTTCACCTCTATGTGATGCTGTATTGCTGAAAATTTTATGATAATCGGAATCGTACTAGAACGGTGAAAAGGAGGTTCCATGCATTTGATTGTGAGGTTAATTTTTGTACCTTCAGTGACAATTGGATAGTCTTCCATGTCTAGTCCATCTACTAATTCCCATCCCCACACTGCAAGGGTCTGTGAAGCCATGGGGATGCCCAAGAGTTGTGCAATCTTCCTTTTGATTTCAAGGACAGGTTCTTTGAGACCCACTTCTACGGTAAATTCATGTCCCCATGTATCAATAATGACCCTCATCTTGTCACTCATATAACTGGCCTATAGTTTCTGTTGCTCTGTGAGACTAAAAAAAACCAAATACAAATAAGAACACTGGATGGCAGATGGGTTTTTAATTTTATGCTGGTGAAGAAGGGTTTTTAAGTTCAAAATAACTTTGATCTTAGAGTCATGTCAAAAACATGAGTTTTACATCATTCTATTTGTATTTGTATCTGAATTCATGCGAAAAGCATTCTCAACTTTGATCATGAGCATATAATTCATGAAGGACACACACACCTTATTTAATTAGTGGTAGAGCTAATTAAACAAGATTATTTCACTGTTTTAAATTAAGTCCCCTCTCCAAATTATTTCAAAAATTAGCGACCACATGATTTTTGGGAGCAGTTGAAGCAGAACGTTGACATGCATAATATGTTATCATAATCTCTAGGAGTTGTGCGAGCGAGTGAGTGGCATTTTGTTATTTTTTTGGAATTATGTTTCACTATCCAATATGAAAAGGGATCTTAGTGCATTTTTTGACAGGATGCTACTTCTAGGTTAAAATGGAAAAATGTTTTTTGGTCAGGAATTCTAAAAGGAATATATCCATGTTGTCTTTAGTCATTTTGTACACACATATTCAACTGAGTAAAACTTGTCTGTATCGGACAGTCGATAACTTAAAAAGCTTAAACTATCAGAAAATGGGCAAACAATGTACGTCAAGAGTCGTAGAGTCGTAGGCTGCTGAGCTTATAGAACATAGTCAAATATTACCCAGTTTATAATGCATCGATTCTGAAACTTGGCTGGAGCAGACCAACCATATAATAACTTAATAAGGCACTTTATTTATATTGGTTTCTTTAATGAGACCTAAAATTCAATTTTGTATGAGCATGTGTTTTTGAATATCATAGTCTTCCCTGTCGGCCTGTTACCAAATGTGCGAGACTGAGTCCATACCTCGAACTAAACATTTTCAAATTATAGCACACTCAGGCATAACCTTGAGAATATTGCTATCTAATTAACGACTATGTATTTCATTATCTTATATCCTACCAAACACTCTTGGGTCTTTGACTTAATTTTCACACTTCATCTGCAAAGGCATCATCTTAACATATTTTGCATGCTAATTATGTCAGCAATTTAGTTAAATCATGACCAACCATCAGTAATGGAAATTTTAGACCCAATCTCGTTGTAGAATGGCATTTTAATTTATACTTCAGGAAGCATCGTTGTCAGTTCTCATACGTATAGTATGCTCTACGTACATAGTTTACGTTCTCAATTTTAATAATTTGCCAAGTAATAGTTAATACAGATGTAATCAATGTTTAATACATAACTGTGTTATCTGATTGATGATTGCCATGAAATTTCATTGACTTCTTGAGAAACAATGTAAAATGAAAATTGTAGTGTTATAAAATTCTGTTCTTATCTGTAATAGGCCAAATTCTCTGCATGAATTAGCATGCTATTGATAAAGTCAACATCTCTCAAACTGTTATATTATAATTTTTTGTTTTATAGATTGACAATAAAAAAGTGAAAGATCAATTAGAGAGGAATGGGTGGCGCCAATGGTCTTGATCGTTGCATTTCTTCCTTCTATGTGCATATTATGTAAAACTTTATTTCCATAATCTAAAACTACGATATTGTGTAGAATGAAAATATTATTTTACTTAAATTATTTGACATTTTCCTATTAATGTTGGATTTGCTTTGGATAATATTAACATGTGGGTAATTAATTGAATAAGAATCCCCCTAACTCCTAAGTTTATTAGACTAGCCTCCCTGCACGCGCGGAAGGCTTTTTTTAATCACGCGTGCTATGAGCGACTTCCAAAGTTTCGTAAATATTTTTTCGCAATTGTAAATATATAGATGTCTGTTTCAACAGTTTCATATTTTAATCGCGCGCGTGTGATAAATCGTCGTTTTAAAAGTTTTCCTTTTATCGCCCGTATTTTTCTAGACTTCCATCTTAAAAGTTTACACGCTATAAAAGGAAAAAAAAAAAGAAAAAAAAAAAGAGAAACTGCTAAGATGGACTTCTAGAAAATGCCCTTGGTTAATTCAAACATTAAGAATTGAAATTATTAATTAAATTAGGATAATATGGTAAATTCACATTTTGTTCATATTAAAAGAAAATAAAAATAAAAATAAAATCAGATAATAGGTCTTACTTTTATAGAACATAACTACCCATGTTATCTTTTCTTAATTCTAAAAATAAAATAAATTAAAAATTAAAAAAAAAACCAATTGGCGCATGTGCCATGGGGCTAGTTACAATTAAGGTAAGAAATAAAAAACAGAAACTTGCATTTTTTTTTTCTTTCAAAACACTCCAAGTGAAACGCCGTCATTTCAATTAGAATTTTTTTTAAAACGCAATCAAAACGATGTCGTTTCATTTAAAGTTAAAACATGAAACATGAGTTCTCCATCGTTCTATTTGTATTTGTATCTGAATTCATGCAAAAAGCATTCTCAACTTTGATCATGAGCATATAATTCATGAAGGACACACACACCTTCTTTAATTAGTGGTAGAGCTAATTAAGCAAATTATTTCAAAAATTAGCGACCGCATGATTTGGGAGCAGTTGAAGCAGAACGTTGAAATGCATAATATGTTATCATAGGAGATTAATTATAATCTCTAGGAGTTGTGCGAGCGAGTGAGTGGCATTTTGTTATTTTGTTGGAATTATGCTTCACTGTCCAATATGAAAAGGGATATTAGTGCATTTTTTGACAGGATGCTACTTCTATGTTAAAATGGAAAAATGTTGTCTTTAGTCATTTTGTACATACATTCAACTGAGTAAAACAAACTTGTCTGTATCGGACAGTCAACAACTTAAAAAACTTAGACTGTCAGAAAATGAGCAAACAATGTACGTCAAGAGTCGTAGAGTCGTAGGCTGCTGAGCTTATAGAACATTGTCAAATATTACCCAGTTTATAATGCATCGATTCTGAAACTTGGCTGGAGCAGACCAACCATATAATAACTTAATAAGGCACTTTGTTTATATTGGTTTCTTTAATGAGACCTAAAATTCAATTTTGTATGAGCATGTGTTTTTGAATCACAGTCTTCCCTGTCAGCCTGTTACCAAATGTGCGAGACTGAGTCCATACCTCGAACTAAACATTTTCAAATTATAGCACACTCAGGCATAACCTTGAGAATATTACTAGCTCATTACCGACTACGTATTTCATTATCTTATATCCTACCAAACACTCTTGGGTCTTTGACTTTATTTTCACACTTAATCTGCAAAGCCATCATCTTAACATATTGTGCATGCTAATTATGTCAGCAATTTAGTTAAATCATGACAAACCCTATTGGAAATTTTTTAGATCCAATCTCTTTGTAGAATGGCATTTTATACTTTATTAGGAAGCATCGTTGTCAGTTCTCATACGTATAGTATGCTCTACGTACATATAGTTTACGTTCTCAATTTTAATAATTTGCCAAGTAATAGTTAATACAGATGTAATCAATGTTTAATACACAGTTATCTGATTGATGATTGCCATGAAATTTCATTGACTTCTTGAGAAACAATGTAAAATGAAAATTGTAGTGTTATAAAATTCTGTTCTTATCTGTAATAGGCCAAATTCTCTGCATGAATTAGCATGCTATTGATAAGGTCAACATCTCTCAAACTGTTATATTATAATTTTTTTTATTTTGTTAATATTCTGCAATCAATCATATGCCAGTTTTCAACATAGAATTCTTAATTATTTCTTTCAATCCTTTCCTCACTCCTGCTACTATGACATTAATTTCATATTTCCCTTATTGGTCTAAGCATAGTGTTGAAAAATATAAAGTCCCACATCGAAAACTTGACTAAATAAATTACAACTTATAATAAGTGGCTCCACTCCTAACAATGTCGAGGTCTTTTGTGATAAAACCTCACACCTACTCCGAGGCCTTACCGTTAGATAAATTACAATTTATTTGGTATTTCTTAACTCCAATTTTCTGTTGCCTCTAATTTGCAGAAAAATGGGTTCCGTCTGAAGCTTTATCCTTTTTTCTTTTCTTCTTGAACTTATAACATAAGTTTGTCTTATGTTTTTTTTCTTGTTATTATGAGTATTATTATTGTGTTTTTTTTTATGTGAGTTGTCAACTTGGGTTTTCATTATTTATTTTTTGGAGAGGAAGTTGTCAAATCGTTTGTTAGGCGGCCTTAACGTTTCTGGTCTAAGCATAATGTTGAAAAATATAAAGTCCCACATCGAAAACTTGACTAAATAAATTACAACTTATAATAAGTGGCTCCACTCCTAATAATGTCGAGGTCTTTTGTGATAAAACCTCACACCTACTCCGAGGCCTTACCGTTAGATAAATTACAATTTATTTGGTATTTCTTAACTCCAATTTTCTGTTGCCTTTAATTTGCAGAAAAATGGGTTCCGTCTGAAGCTTTATCCTTTTTTCTTTTCTTCTTGAACTTATAACTTAAGTTTGTCTTATGTTTTTTTTCTTGTTATTATGAGTATTATTATTGTGTTTTTTTTTCTGTGAGTTGTCAACTTGGGTTTTCATTATTTATTTTTTGGAGAGGAAGTTGTCAAATCGTTTGTTAGGCGGCCTTAACGTTTAAGATAATATAAAGTCTATAAACAACTCTTAAGGACAGTATGTTCTGACAAATTCAAAGGCTTAAACATAACTATAAAACCAATGACACACTGGTAATTCGTATCGGCGATACGTCTATCTAAAGACAATGGCTACTCAAAAGCTTATCTCAGTTTTGTTGCTTCAACTCCTGCTTGTTATTTTGGCCTCAGACTTCAGCAATGGGCAGAAGTTGAACGTTGGGTTTTACCACAAAACATGCCCAAACATAGAGGCTATTGTGGCAAAAACTACTCAGCAATACATATCTCGGGCACCAACGCTTGCTGCTCCTTTGTTAAGGATGCATTTTCATGATTGTTTTGTTAGGGTATGTTGTTTGGTTGCATTAATTACTTGCCTCCTATGTAATCCATCAAATGTTGATTAGGCAATATGTACTTGTATGCATTACTAGTCCATGCATGCACATAATTTCCTCCACTAAAAAAGTTGCAGAACAATTTGCTAAGGACTGAATTTTGTTCCTAGCTAACTCCATTAAATTTTGATTTGCAGGGATGTGATGGCTCTGTGCTGTTGAATTCCACAGCGAGCAATAGCGCTGAGAAAGATGCATTCCCCAACCAAAGCTTAAGAGGGTTCCATGTCATAGATGCTGTAAAATCTGCAGTAGAAAAGAAGTGTCCTGGTGTTGTTTCTTGTGCTGATATCTTGGCGTTGGTAGCTCGTGACGCAGTAAGAATGGTAAAAAGAAACTAATCTTGTATCCACATAATTCTATAATTTTATTGCATATGTTGTTAAATAATCGGGTAGCTTTACTGAATTGATATTTTTATTTCAGCTTCATGGATCATTTTGGGAGGTCCCGACAGGACGTAGAGATGGAAGAGTGTCAGTAAACTCAGAGGCCTTAAGAGGGTTACCAGCTCCTTTTGCAAACATAACACAGCTGAAAGCAACATTTGCTTCAAAGGGTCTAAGTGTTAAAGACCTAGTGGTTCTATCAGGTGACGAATCTTAAGTTCGATAAAGAATTTTTTGTTTGTCTGGTTGTTTTTTTCATGAGACTCTAACTTATAAGCTCTTTTTTTTTTTCTTGTCTCAGGAGGACACACCATCGGAACATCTCACTGCGGACCCTTTTCGAATCGCTTGTACAATTTCACCGGTAAAGGGGACACAGACCCGAAATTGGACAAAAACTACATAGCTCAGCTGAAGACAAAGTGTAAGCCAGGGGACATAAAAACCCTGGTTGAAATGGACCCTGGAAGCTTCAAATTATTTGATGAAGATTACTACACTCTTGTCAACAAAAGAAGAGGACTTTTCCAATCTGATTCAGCTCTTCTTGATGACCCTGAGACAAGAGCCTATGTGATACAGCAAGCCACCTCTCATGGAGCCACCTTCCTAAAAGACTTTGGTGCCTCAATGGTAAATATGGGAAACATTGGGGTCCTCACAGGCAACTCAGGTGAAATAAGGAAGCAATGTGCTTTTGTCAATTGAGGGCAAATGCAAGCAAGCAAGTTTATATATTTTCTGTATATTTTTGTTTCAGCTGGTGATCTTTTCAATTTCCAAGTGTAATATAAGTTGACTGGTAACCAGGTCATGTGATTTTGCAGTGTTATGGTGGTGGAGCCTTCACCATATATATCATGCAACTTCTCAATTATTTTCCGGGCAAATAAAGTATTGTGGGGCATTTTAATTTTATAAAAAAGATTATTAATTGCAAATTAATAAAGCTTAAATATTCGTTTGAGACAGAAATATTTGTTTGTGTACAGCTTGCTTGAATGCTAATAAAGGGCCAGAGACAATTGTTCGCCAACTTTCTTTAACGTGATCTGAATTCTGATTGTGTTGATTTTATAATCTAAGCCGACATGGTCCACCAGTTAGATATTGGCAAAATATCACAATAAAAATATTTCCACATTGGTAAAATTCAAAAAGATAAAAAAGGATAATGGAACTTTTGCTGTATTTTGGCTCTATTAAATATGCAGTTCATAGCCGTGATTATTTTTTGTACCCTATTGACATGGGGTGTATCATAATCGTGACTATCTTTTGTACTTCCTGAAAATTTGTATTGGATGCTTGTTTGGATCTGAGTATAGGTTCAAGTGATTGATTGCTTGTGTGACTATTGTAATCGAGTCTTTCCATTTTTATCAATGATATTTATGTCGTTTGAAGCAATAAAAAAAAGTACGCAGTTCATGACTGGATGCCCTGAATTATATAAGTGCATGGCAGAAAGAGAGAGCAAAGAATCAATAAAAGCAATCTTTTTCCTTCGAAAGTACTTATAGCCAACTCTCTGCATGCTTAAAAGTTTGATTAAAAATTAGATTAAGGCTAACAAAAGATATTTATCATCTGATGTATAATCACTTTAAGCATTTTCTTTAACTTTAATTTTAATTATTCACTCTAATGGAAACTTAAAGTGGATTCTCTTAATATGTTTTTGAATTATATGAGATAAAGAGCTATATAAGTACTTGATGTTGTTACACTTAGTCTCAAACTTCATAGGCTCATAGCATAGCATAATGATTTTGCTGGGATGAAGCCAAAATTATTAGGGTTTTGGCTTTAGGCCATGTTACCGAAAGATCAGTAGGAAAAAGATGTCAAAAAAAAAACCCCATTGGCCCAACACAAAGGAGAAAGTCAACTTGGTCTGGTTCTTCAAAATCTTGGACGCTCCCAAATATTTAATTAAGGATAATGCTTGCCTCTTTTAAAGAGATATTTCTTCCTACTAATCACACACATGCAAAAATAATTCTTGAAAAATATAAAAAGAAAAACTTATGCACACATATCACATCGTAATTGGCAGAAATATAGAAACTCATACTTATATAGTATCGAGAAAAGTATTTTCCTTCAATTAATTATGACCTGAAATACATCATATTAACAGAATCATTCACCTCCTATGTTCATCATTTTATTTCGTTTATGCCTACAAAACTCTGAACCAAAACACACAACAGGAGATAAGACAGGTCGTCTCGATTAATTTTGTTTTTTTCCCATTTTGTCTTTCATTGCATAATATTCTGTTTTTTTTTTTTTAATTTTAAAAAAATTAAGAGCAGCCACGCAGGTGGCAGCATATAGCCAATTATTGATAAGAAAATTGGATAGGTGAGCAGAAATTATAAAAATTAAAATTTCCAGTACTGGAGCAGTTGAGTTTTCTGCTTTATTATGCAAACTTCAGATCAACATCCACCAAACCCCACATTACATAAATATGCGCGCGCACACATACACACATATATATAAGGCCGCCACTGTTGACTGTTAAACTTAAAACTGTTACCAAGTTATAACCAAGTCACCTTAATTAAGGAACATCAATTTATATAATCTCCAATTAATTATGAAAAAAGACATAAATTATGGTGGCAATGAGACCATAAAAGATGTGTGTTGTCAGTCAGACGCTAGCTTCAGAGATAATCCATCATCAAAGTGAAAAAGCATTTGCTAATTTTGAATTTACTTTGCTTGTTAATTATCTTATGAGGGACAAGCCTAACTGCTCATATTAAGTAATAATTTTTATTAAAATATGATAAAAGCTTTGCCTCCAAGCTCGTGTTAGTTGGCTAGCTGGATTATTTTCGTCACCCTGCAATTTTCATATCTTTCACAGCTCAAGTTGAAGCTGGGGTCTATAAATTTCCAGTCCTAAATTTGGAACTGCAACTGCATTCAAGTTTACAGCTGAAGCTTGTCTGCAAACGAAAATGGGATCGGTTCGTTTTTCCGGGATTTTATTAGCTTCGTGCTTTTTGGCGATTTTAGGCCTCAGTGAAGCACAGTTGCAGTTGGGTTTTTATGCCAAGAACTGCCCAAAAGCAGAGAAGATTGTGGAGGATTTTGTAGATGAGCACATACACAATGCACCTTCAGTTGCAGCAGCCCTCATAAGAATGCACTTCCATGACTGCTTTGTCAGGGTTTGTGTTCATCATCTTCTTCCCTTGCCCAAGATTCTGCAGTCTACTTTGTCAGTGTCAGAATTAAATTTTTTGAAACTAATTAATTTTTTTTAATGTTTTTGCTTGACAGGGTTGTGATGCCTCTGTTCTTCTGAACTCAACTTCAAGTAACCAAGCTGAAAAAGTTGCCCCTCCAAATCTAACACTCAGAGGCTTTAACTTCATTGACAGAATCAAGACCCTACTTGAAGCTGAATGCCCTGGAGTAGTTTCTTGTGCGGATGTTATTGCTCTGGCAGCAAGAGACTCTATTGTAGCAACGGTAAGATCTCCAACCAATCATCCAATTTTTAAAAGTAAATTTTATTAAAACTCAGTGAACTTATTATGTGTTTTTTTTTCTTTAAATATTTTTCCTTGGTTTGGTTAGGGAGGTCCATTTTGGAAGGTTCCAACAGGTAGAAGAGATGGGGTGATCTCAAGGAGTGCAGAAGCCTTAGCCAACATCCCAGCCCCAACTAGCAACTTCACCACTCTCCAAACACGTTTTGGTAATCTGGGTCTTGATTTGAAGGACTTGGTCTTGCTCTCAGGTAAATCTAAACGTTGAACAGGAAATGTTGCCTTTCCAAATAACCTACATGTTATGTAAGTGCCCTCGTATATATCGTATATATAAATATATAGAGACAAATTGCTAATATGACGGCCTATTAGGTAACGTTCTCTTAAGAGACCTATGTTGTTTCAACTTTGACAGACTGTTAATTTGAACTACTAATTGAGTAAACTCATATATATAAACATGTAGAGTCAATTAGATATAATATTAATGGCTACTGAGTAATATTCTCTTACGAAACTTATGTTGTTGCAAAATCGTGAATGCAGGGGCCCACACAATTGGTATCTCTCATTGCTCATCATTTTCAAACCGCCTTTACAATTTCACCGGAGTGGGTGACCAGGACCCAGCTTTGGACAAGCAATACGCAGCGAATCTCAAGGCAAACAAGTGCAAAAGTTCAAGTGATAATACCACAATAGTTGAAATGGACCCTGGAAGCCACAGGACTTTTGACCTCAGCTACTACACACTTTTGCTCAAAAGACGAGGCCTCTTTCAATCTGATGCTGCTTTAACCACAAGCTCAACCACCCTTAATTATATCAACCAGCTCCTCAAAGGTCCACTTCAGAATTTCTATGACGAATTTGCCAAGTCCATGGAGAAAATGGGTCGGGTTAATGTTAAGACTGGATCAGCTGGTGAGATTAGGAAGCAATGTGCAGTTGTGAATAGCTAGGAATAATCTTTGGTTTAATAATTTCTCAGTCTTTTCTTATTAGTTTTTTTTTTTTGGTTTTTGATATGGCAATCTTTATGTATGTTTTTATTTTATTTTATAATATTTAAATAATATGGGTTGATTGGATTTGTATGAAGTTATGAATAAATGAGGTCCATCGATCGGAGTGTTGCTTTCTTTCTCAGTCAACATCATGTTTGTTTTATGTAATTCTAAATCATTATATTGTACATTGATTTTAGTCATGAGTATGACTAATCACCACTTTAACGACGTGATTTTTCAAACTATATAATTAAATTCTAAAAGAGTTATGTTATTTTAACGTACTAAATTGACCACATTTAATCACCATATTATGCGTCAGTTGATGTATACATATCACGTCATTTAAAATAATCCACTGTTTTATATTGCTTTATCTAATTAATCAATATTCTTTTCAACTTTCACCTTCTCCAATGAGTCATGTTTGCTTTATATATACTAAGAGTCATGGTTTGGCTACTTTGGTCATTTCCGTAAAGAGTCATGTTTGCCTTAAACTTTGATCAACATGTATATACGGTCCAATAAAAATATGGATCCAAAAGATTTTCAAATTAGTTGAGGTATTGATGTTGTTTGACTATATATATAATACGATTTCATTTAATTTTGTTTTTTGGAGGCATACATATATAGATTAGCTTTTGGTACATATTAATATGAACTCTTCAATCCATTAACAATGTAGCGATATTCTACACTATACAAGATGACGGGCACATTATCTTGACCAATTGACCTAACCCACAATGTACGCCACCCATGCTACCATTGCCCAGATAAAAAGTACATGTCACATTTTTATTTGATTGGGAAAAATCAAGAATATAATTCAAGGAACACACTAGAACTGACAATGGGCTTTTAGGTTTCTGGTTAACGAAAAATGGGATTCATTTTACCCATTAACTCTTTCGATTTAACAAGGAGTCAGATCCAAAACATTCACCTCCAATGAGGCTCTTCTCTTGGGCCCATTTATTTGTGGCCCAAACCCAACAAAAAACCCAAAATGCCGAAACCCATTTTGCTCCCTAATTTCCATATATCTCAAACTTTCCCATTCCCACCCTAACAGGTGCCTATATATACCACCCAACTCTCACACGCTTCTCATCCCATTTTCTCTACGCCTCCCAAACACTAACCTTTTCTCGCAGAAGTTCTCTTAGATCCCAAATCTAGGGTTTTTCAATAAAATTCAAGTGTTTTTGCAGCTCATTTGTGTTTTCTGTTAAATCAGAAGTGTGCGGTGATGAGGCTATTTGTGGACTAGAGTTTATGATCTGGGTTCTTCTCCCAAAAGTTTGATTACAAACCCTTGGCTGTCTGAGCACTCTTTATCTGTTTTCTCTTATCTTCCAATCTGTAGTTTTGAAAAGTGCTTTTTTCCAAAGTCGCTCATATCATATTTTTGACTTTCTGGCAAAACCCATAAAAGTTCTCAAATTTATTGGTTTTTTTATGCTGTAAAATTGTTCTTGTTTATTAGGGT